CTTCGTAAGCAACGTGGGCGTTCGGGCTGACCCAGACAAGGTCAAGGCCATAGCAGCATGGCCGACGCCCCGATCCCAGAAGGATCTTCGAAAGTGGTTGGGTTTGGCCAACTACCTTCACAAGTACAGCGCTGGGTACGCGGGCTTCGCTAAGCCCTTGTCGAGCCTCCTTCAGAAGGACGTCGACTGGCGCTGGGAGCAAGAGCACCAGGATGCTTTTGACAGCATCAAGGCCAGTCTCCAAGAGGCCCCTGTCCTGGCTCTGCCGGACGAGACGAAGCCGTTTAGCGTCGTCTGCGATGCCTCCGATTACGCCATCGGGTGTGCATTGCTGCAGGACGACACGGCTGGACAGGAACGAGTCATCTTATTCCAGTCCAGGCAGCTCAAAGCCGCCGAGCGGAACTACCCTGTCCATGACAAGGAGCTCCTGGCAATGAAATATGCCCTTGTGAAGTTCCGAGTTCACCTTCTGGGCTCTACGCCCTTTGTGATCTACACAGACCACGCGTCCTTGAGGACGGCGACTAACTCGCCTCACCTCTCCCAACGGATGGCGAGGTGGCTGTCCTTCTTCGCGGAATATAACTTCCGCGTCGAGTACAAGCCGGGCAAGCTCAACGTGCTTGCGGACGCCCTCTCTAGGCGTCCCGACTATGAGTTGGCCCACATCACGCGGGTGACAACGGATCTATATGATCGGATACGCATGGCGTATCGGGACGATGAGGCTGTCGCGCCTATCGTCAAGTTCCTTAAGGCCGGAACGAGCGCGAAGTCCGACTGGCTCTCGTCGCGACAGCGCTCACGGCTCCACCGATATGAGTTGAAGGAGGGCCTCCTCTATTATCGGGTGGAGCCCACTGATTCTCCACGGGTGGTCGTACCCAACGACGAGGATCTGAAGCTCGACATCCTCGCGGAGGCGCATGACGCGCCCTCCAGCGGCCACTTGGGCCGCGAGAAGACCTTTCTGTCGGTCTCTCAGTCCTTCTGGTGGACCCACATGTACAAGTGGGTCGCCCGGTACGTCAAGACATGTGAAACATGTCAGCGGGTTAAACCCGCAGGGCACTCTTCGGCTCCACTACAGAGCCTGCCCGTACCGGCTGATTGTTGGAAGTCGATGAGTCTTGACTTCATCTTTGGGCTTCCCGCCGACGGACACGGCAACACCGGAATTTTGGTGTTCGTGTGTCGGCTGAGCAAGATGGTACATCTTGCTCCAGTTCCCGTCACTGTGACGGGCGAACAAACCGCAAGGTTGTTCGTCGATGGCGTGTTCCGCTATCACGGTCTCCCGGAGACGATTGTCTCGGACCGAGACCCGCGGTTCACTGCTGCGTTTTGGAAAACGCTGTTCCCTTTACTGGGAACTCGTCTGCAGATGTCCACTGCGGATCATCCGCAGACAGACGGCCAAACAGAGCGCGTCAATCGAGTGCTCGAGGACACTCTGCGCAGTGTGTGCGCGGCAGCGCCACGTACGTGGTCGACGCAGCTTCCAGTTGTTGAGTTTGCGCTCAACAACGCGGTGCACGCGTCCACGGGGTTCACGCCGTTCTACTTGAACGGCTTCCGCCACCCCAGAGTGCCTCTCACTCTTCGAGGAAACACTGACTCCTCTATTCTAAGTGGGGGAGAGGCTCGGAAAGCCCTTTCCTCCCAGGTCTCGGATGTGAGGCCAGTTTCGCTGCGGAAACAGGTGGAATCCTTTATGGATACCAAGCTGAACATTGTCAGCAGGGTCCGCGATGCCATGGCAGCGGCCCAAGATAAACAAAAGGAGTACTCGGACAAACAAGGAAGAGGAAACTTAAGTATATTTGAGATTGGTGACTTAGTGTTACTAGACACGAGGAACCTACCTCTAGACACTGTTAGCTCTGTCGGCAGCAACAAGCTGAAGCACCGCTTCATCGGACCTTTTGCAGTCCTGGCCAGACATGGTGCGTCGTACACCATCGACCTTCCAAAGTCAATGACGACGCACCCGACGTTCTATGTCGGACGTCTTAAGCGGTACTTTGACCCGCAGGAGGTTGCTGACTCGCAGACCCCCCTTGACCCAGCTCCTCGAAGCGAGGGCCGGTCACAGTCGTCGACGAGGGCGTCGGAGCAGGCACCCAAGCCTCGGTCGGGACGGCAAGGGTGCGGTCAAGACCGTACGCCGGAGGGGCTCCATACGAACGGACCCCGGCGCCATACGCCGAGTACGCTGAGTACGCCGGGTACGCACCATACGCGTACGTCTGGGAGTGTGCCGCAGGCGGCTCCGGACGTGGCAACAAAGCCTCGATCCGTCGGATCATGCGAAAGGCCTCGTCCAGATCGGACGAAGAGGCCCGGCGGTCCACCCGCAGGTGCAGGCTCGCGACCTCTCGCTCCACCAGGTCCAGGCGACCCGCAAGACGAGCGAGCTCGCCCTGATTCCCGGCCTGGGCGGCAGCATTACCGCCAGTCCCAAGGCCAAGTGCAATCTCAAGCACGAGGAGACGTTGACGGAGGCGGTCAACCTCAGGGTCCCGTGTCGGACCCGCAGTCGGAGCACTCGAACGAGAGTGGCTCTCGGGAGGCGCCGAGTACTCGTACTCGTACGAGGGCACCTCCGCCCCTGCTTGACCGGAATGCAGAAGTCCACTTCCACGTGGAGCGGATCCTCCAGGAGCAACGGTGTCGCGGCAAGCGACAGCTCCTCGTGAAGTGGAGGGGTTATGCCCACTCCGACAACTCGTGGGATCCGATTGAACGGCTCCTGATTGACTGCCCGAAGGCTGTCGCAATCTGAGAACAGAAGCGGCGGCAGCTTCATAAGTAGTCCGGGGCTTCTTGCCCGAACGGGGTACGGATGATGAATACATACCGTACCCGCGCTCATCGTGAGCGCTAGAAGCCGCGCGCTTCAGGATGTCCCTTGGCAGCATACGCTTGCTGATCAAGTGGGCAAACCTCACACGAAGATCACGCTGGTCCAGGATGTGGGACAGCTGCTGATCTTCATGGAGTTCCCATAACTCCGTGGGCGAGTACTTGAGAGTCTCCACCCACGCCCAGAACATGTCCTCACAAGAACTCCATGTGGGACAGTTCTCGGGCATAACCCAGGGGTATCCCCAAACAGGATAGAGACCACCCCGGGTCTCGGGCTTCTTACGACAAGTCGTGAAGTCCTTAAGGGGAATGCGGTGTGGCGCGAGAAGCACACACCGAGCAGCCTCCACGTTGTCGACGAACAACTGTTCTTTCTGAACAAGGGCTCGTTCATAGATGCCCCTAGAAGTGTGGCCGCCCACAAGGCCACGAGGAGCGACGAGAAGCTCTAAGAAGAGGTCAGCCCCAGAGCTCTCCTCGGGAGGCCAATACCCTCTTGAGTTGATGGCAGCTCCCTGGCTGACGGGTGCCGCCACCGAACCCCCACGCACACGCTGGGCAGCTTGGGAATCCTCCTGCTGCTGGTCGAGGTCATTCGAGACCTCCCGGGGCTCAACAATGGCACCCTCCTCTTCCTCTTCTTCCTCCTTCTCCTCCTCTTCATCCGAGGAGCCGAAGAGACTCTGATAGGAGCGTCGAGTCTCCTTCTCCTCGCGGAGTGGAGACTTAGAGGCGGTACGCTTCTTTGAGGGCTTGGCGCCTTCGGCTTTAGAGGCCTTAGCGCGCGCAAGACCCTCGGCAAGCGAGAGACGTTTGCGAGTACTCCCTTCCTCATCGCCACCGGCTTTGGGAGTGCCCTTAGCCTTAACGGCCGGACTCTCAGAGCGCACAGAGGTCCTGGGTACTGTTGATACCCCCTCGCGTTCGCTCCCCTGTTTATTTTTTTTTGTTTTTTTTTTTTTTTTCAAATAAAAAAAACACACACGCGGCGCGTTCTTTCTTGTGTTCCCTGGGACATGGGCTGTGGCCCTCCGCCCGAACCGTCAGTGCATCTGATGCTCTCGGATCGGCATCTCTCATGCCCGAGTTGAACTCACGTTCTACGAACCGAGGGTTCGGACGATTGTCTGAAGACGAGGGCGACGGACTGCGGCGCCTGCTTGCGCGCTTGTCCGCAGCCGCGTCACCCGAGGATCCGATCGCCTCGGAGGCCACCTGAGTAGCCTCCTTAAGTGCAGAGCCTTTGCCGTGAGGCTTAGTGCTCTTGGCCTGCGCCTTACCGGCTGCCGCCTTGGAGCGTGTCTTAGCACCGCTCTTAGCAGTGCCACGAGGCATGTTAACGGTCGAAGTGGAGACCTTGACGAAGAGCGCACAGGTTGCTGCTCGAGGCTCTAACTGTAAAGTGAGCCTCCGCCGCGCTCGCGCGGCCGAGTCGATGGTTTTCGACTTTGAGAATGAGAGTTTGTGACGAACATCTCTTCATTCTGATTGGTCGGTAAACCGAACCTAAGTGGGGGAGGATGTAACGGGGTACGTAGCACTAAGTGTACCCTGGTTACATGAAGTGTGACACTTCACACTTCAGGAGTATGACATGTCATACTCCGGGATATTTGGTACAAGGTACCAAGGTCATTCAAAACCAACCATTGGTTAAATGACATTGCATTTCTATAGGTAACTGATAGTTTGTATTAACCTCAAACTTAACCTACCTATAAATATACTCAGTTTACAATCTACCTTATTTAGGTCACTTCGCTCTCTTTAATTAAAGAGGGGACCTGTGAACTGCCGTTCACTGAGAGTTTGTATACTCTCGGAAGATAACTTCCTCTAGCGCAAGGTGCTGTGTGACCCCGTCACATCTGCACTACCGAAACCAAGGACTTCAGCGGCGTCAGCATTGACATCTTCAGCTTGGACTCGGGTGATGCCGACGTCCACGCTGCCCAGCAAGTGTGTTGCCAGTACGGCTACTCGGAGGGCGGTGCCGACTTCTGCGCTGGCGGAGACACTGACTACGACACGTGTTTCGCCACGTTCACCGTCTGATGTTCCAAGCAATTGGCTAATGCGGCATGGAAGGTACTACCGACCGAGTGCGCAAAGTTGGTAGTAAGTCCGTGTGTTTTACACCTTTTTTCAACGAGCCTCTTTTATAATAAGCCTTTTTAGAGACAGCGGGACGTAATTACCGTAAAAAGAATGACTTGGTTTCAATGATTTCGTTGAGTCTCGAGTATCATTCTCGTCCGCGCTCCTCCAACGACATCGGGTCCTTCGCGCCGTGCCAGCACCTCTGCCAGAACTTCTGTGATGCTGTCCTCTTCGTCTTGGATTTCGTAGTCGCATCCATGGTAATCGAGTAGCACGGTGTGCTTGTAACAAGCTACTTTTGTCCAACCGCGACAGCGCAATAGCCAGAACATACGCGTTCACGAGCGACGTGTAGCGAATTCAGAGATCACACAAGATTAAGAGGATGTTCGAGCAGATGGCCTGTTCCTCGCAAGTCCGGGGCTCGCTAATCAACTTCGTCATGCACTGCTTGGCCAGGTCTTCGTACGTGAGCGCAGCTTGACTAGAGTCACGGAGGCGCTCACATGAACTGGAGTCGGTAAGGGGACAGGGTCGGAAATAACAGAAGACTCTTTTTCATCGCCGTGTCCGGTAGCTTGAGATTGGCTGATAGGGACGAGCTGGGACTGCAAAAAGGGCTGCAATTCATGCTGCAATAAGCTCTCTCTTTCTATTCGTGAGATCTTTCGTGTGTTCGTCACGATCGTATCACGCGTTGTCCTCTGCAGTCACCTCCGCATACTTCACTCCAGTCCGTTTCCTGGCCAAGGATCGGTGCCGGTGGTCACAGCTGTCGCTCACCTATATATGCAATCCTATTCACGCAATATGCACGTGATTGACAGCTTCTTTCCGGGTGCAGTGCAGCGGTTAAGCTCTACGTCCAGGAGGATCAGACTCTCTGAGCAGTCGAGGCGGGGCGCTCTGGACTCGAGCCGGGGACTTGAACCTTTGTTAGCTACTCACCGCTCGATAAACGGACTCGAACCGCGCCAGCTCGTGGGACTTGAACCCACTCTCCCATAGCTTTGAATACTTCGGCTAGCGAGCCAACGTCTATTTGACACACGGGCTGTCTGCTTCAGCCCCGCACAAGACCCTACTCGTTTTTCCGCAAATAAGCTACTGATCCTATCCTTCCTGTGCACTGCGTGCCTGCTGCTCACGAGTCGCTTAACCTTAATCCAGCAACCCGATCCTAGATCCTAAGATCCCTTACAGTGCTCGTTCTTCTGAATGGCTTGGTTGCCCGTTGGGAAATGGCGTTGCATGGCGTCCGTGACCGCCACGACATCACCACTTCCTCGTTCGTCGGTTTCTTGGGCTCGGGCACACAAGAACTTCATTCTGCTTACTCTCTTCCCCTGGTCAACGAGTCGTCCCCGACTCGTGCTTGTCTCCTTCTTCCTACTTGTTATGCTGTCGTCCTCGCCGCTGGCCCTGCTGTCGTCCTGTCCGCCTTACTTCCTGCTGTTGTCTTCACTGTCGTTCTATTCGCTGCCGACCTCGATGTTGTATCTCTTGCTGTCGTTCTCGTCGTTGCTCGGTTGGTGGCCCTTACCTCGCCGAGTCTGCTAACACCGTGGCACTGGTGCGCTCATTCTCGCTGTTTCCTCTTGGGCATATTCACTTCTGATGCGCCCAGCCCGCCACATTTCCTCGTAGTCTAAGCGGTTGATCCAGAGATTCTCGGGCCCTCGACCGTCAGATCGATTCCCCACACACTGTACTTCGAATTCCAATACATAACGACCGGTGCGCATTCGATATCGTCGTCTGCGGCATTCAACGACGACGGCTTCGGGACCAAGTCGCGCAAGCCTCTAGCGATTGTCCACGAGAGTGTTTGTTTCTTGCCGTCCTCGTCCAGCAAACACGTAGATGTACGCTTCTTCGTCGGCTGGATCGGCGTACGTGTGTACTGCTTGCCGTGGTTGCTCACCGTCTTCATCTTGACGACTGCTTCCGTATTGTTCACCGGCTCCTGCTTGATTACATCCAGCTTCTGTACTGTGGTGGTCGTCGCGCTGCTCTCCTTCGTGCATGTCCTCGTGCCGCTGCTCTCTGACTCAACTCCGACCATGCTGCTGCGTAGTCTCCACTGGGCGGCGGGCATCCGTGGTTAGTTTGAACGGTAGTCTATAATCCGGGTAGATCTGTACAGGTTTCCGGCTGAGCCACGCTTTGGTCCACACGAATGCCTACTCCTGACCTTCAACTGGTGTACTTCGCCACTCTTCCCAGAACAATCGCGACGGTGTGTCGAGTTTTAGGTGCAGCAGCTTGATGTTGCGTAGTGACTGGCGACTGCTGTTGTCCCACACATGCAAAGCGCCGTTCTCGTCTCCTGACATTAAGACGGCTGGGTCTGCAGTGTAGTGACACTGCTTTCATGATGTTTGAACGATTCCGAAAGCGTCGCCTCGGGACCCCAAGGAGCAACTTTGGCAGACAAAGATCCTGTCGAAGCATTAGCCACACATGCCGTCGCTGCTGTGACGGATGTGGCAGCAGCATTCAAGTCCAGTGCGTAGATGTGTCCATTGCCACAGCCCATGAAAATCCGCTGCTCCATGGGGTCAGCAATGCACACGTTGACGTACGATGGACAGGGGACGTTGTCTAGGCACGGGGGATAATTGAGCGACCAGATCTTGCACGTACGACCCAGAGAGGAGGTGTAGATGCGGGCCTTCACACCGCCTAGACCCACATGCAGCGACGTGACAGGTAGAACGTGGTCTGTGAAGCTTACCACGGGTGTGACACCTTGTTGGAAGCTCGAAGCTGCGTCTGGTTCGTCTAGCAAGTCCAGGAGTCTCCATACATGCATCAAAGCGTTTTCACTTGCCGTGTCTAAGTGCGAATCATCCGACGTAAGGTCCAAAGCCGACACGCGCTTGTAGTGCGCGTCGAATACCGCCACCAACTCGCCAGTCTTGACGTCCTAGACGTAAATTTTGCCTGACTCAGCACCAGCGAAGAGGGAGTTGCCGCAACTTGAAGACGTAATTGGACCCATCTTTTCGGTCACATGACACTTCCACACGGGCATGTTCTTGCCCCAGCTCCAGAGGCTGAGCGCCAACTTGCCTTCCTGCACTGCCACCAAGTGGTCCGTGCGCAGCACTGGGTAGACTCCATTTAGCGCCGAGCGACAGTTCTAGAAGCAATAAAGTTGGACGCCAGTAGACGAATCAGCGACGAGCGGCTCGTTCCCCTGTCTCGAGCCCAGGAGTAGTACGTGGCCCGCCAGCGCAGTCGTGGGTGGCAAACAAATGCAGCAACGCCAAAATGCCGTCAGCGATCGACTTGGTATCCTACGCGTCACATACCGTAACAAAAGGCGGTAGACACATGCAGAATACGCTTCGATCCATCGTTATAATATCACCGGTGAAACAGGCCAATTATCTTGTCCGGCCGTAGGGCAGATCGTATTGCTCGTCCGTAGTGCAGTGCCAGAAGTTCGTGCCGACTGATCTCCGAATAATACACCGAGATGGCCGACAGGATCTACGTGATCCTGCGCCGGAACGTCGACTTCGTGTCCGCTCCTATTTATTAAGCACACTCTGTTACCAGCCTCTTGCTAGTCCCTACCCTCACTTGTGCACTACCTGGCTAATTCTGTTGTGAGCGACTCGCGCACCAAGCTTGACGCGCTGTTTCCAGCTTCTTCGTTGCCCAGATGGCACGCCAGCGCCCACTCCTACTTTCCGAAACACCCGCCGACCCAACCGACGCGCTGCACCCAGCTTCATCGTTGCGCCTGTCGATCGGCAGGTACTCCACATGCATTCCGCTTTCGATATGAGACCCTTCGTCATGGCTCCCGCCAATAGTCTTCATCGTTGGGCGCGGCGCCCCCACACACATCTCGTGCTTCATCTCGCTTCCGGCTGAGAACCCCTCGTTATGGCGTGCGCCAGTAGTCCCCCACCGATGGGCGCGGATCCCATGTACTTCCATCGCGTTTTCAGCAAGGCCCCCACAACAACGGTCCCCACCGATGGGTGCGGTGCCCATCTACTTCGTTTCGCTTTCGGCAAGACCTCCACAACAGCGGCCTCCATCGCTGGGCGCGTCACCCAGACACTTCGTTTCACCATCGACAAGGCCCAGCCTTCGCCGATGAGCTCTCAACCTCCGGCAAGGCCCAGCCTTCAAACCGACGGTCACGACGTCCGAGACTTCTCTCAACCTACGGCAAGGCCCAGCCTTCACCGAGGGTCATAACGTCCGTACACTTCACTTCCGCTTCCGGCAAGGCCCAGCCTACACCGCTTGGGGAACGGTACCCCCACCCACTCACACCGATTCTGACGGACGACTTCATCGTCCGGCATCATGCCCTTCAGCTGCCGTCGTGGGCGGTGCCCACCTACTCACTCTCTTCATACGTACCCGCTTCGTCCGACACTCCACACCTCAGCAGCTGGCTCCAACCAGTGCTCACCTCCTCGTGATCAACTTCACTGCATGATCCATTACACGCCTTACTCCAACAAAGGGTCTTCCACGACCCGTCCTGCTGCGAACAACTCGTCGTATTCCGCACTAGAGACCCACATGTTTTCATCGTCATCCGGAACAACTTGTCCACTCCTCGCTGGCCGTAACGCGTATTCAAGGACATAGTATCCAGCTTTATTGCGACGTCTACGGCGTCGAACCTCCACCAACTGCTCACTCGAGATTCGCCACTTAGCAACGCTGTTCTTCGCTCTCCCTTTTCGTTTGCCAGTTGCGATTCTCGTTGCTGCCGGCACAGCCGACGACGTTGCTCCAGCAACCGCGTCTGCTGCCTCGACATCTTCACCTTGCTCGGCTTGCCCTTCATGTTCCAACTGCTCTTCGATATCAGCTGCCACACGCTGCAATAAGTCCACCGGATAGTGATAGGAAATGAGGAAAGACACATGAGCTATAAATCGCTCTGCTTCACCGTTCTGATCTTCACGCTCAATTAAGAAATTCTCATACTCCGCCGGCTCGACGATCCTCATTGGACCGATCCACTGATGCGCCAACTTAGTCGCTTTTGGCCCCTTCGGAGGTCGGTACATCCAAACTCTGTCGCCTGGTACAAAGTCTCGTCGTTTGCGTACTTTACGATCATAATAGCGTGCCTGACGTTGTTGCTCCCGTACTCGTGCTTGATTTGCTACTTCATGACTCTGCCTCAACGTCCTCATTAGCCACCGATTATACTCCGACAGTTCTCCTGCTTCCGTCACGTTCGCTTGTTGTAATAACTCGTTTGGATTTCGCAGCTTCCTTCCCATCATCAACTCGTTGGGCGAAAGCGCCACCGTAGAGTGTCGTCCCGAGTTGTAAGCGTACACCGCAAATGGCACCCAATCCGCCCAGTCATTATGGGCCTCTGCTTGCATGTATGTGGACACACAGTCCTTCCACGTGCGGTGGAAGCGCTCCACCAAACCCAGCATTTGAGGTCGATACGGCACCGGATTCACTTGCTGTGCTTGCAGTAACATCACTAATTTTTCGACCTCCAATCCAGTTAACTCTGGTGCTCCATCCGTCAGCAACTCACGAAACACGCCAAACTTCAGTACGATTTCCTCCATCAGGAACTTCGCCCCATTGTCGGCTGTGTGCCGCTCCACCGCCTTGGCCACCGCGTAACGAGTCACATACTCCACAGCCGCAATCACATACCGCTCGCCGCCTCCGGCCACTGGTAGAGGGCCCGCCACATCTAATGCCCATCTATCGCCAACATCTCCTCCGCGAATGCTCCGCAGTGGCGGAATCACCTCCCTCGGTTTTGCCTTACGACTTCCACACTCCTGACAGCCTCGCACCCATCGCGCCACTTCTCGTCGCAAATCCGGCCACCAATAATGTCTCGCGATCCGTTCGTAGGTATGAGGCGCTCTCAAATGACCCGCCCAGACCGAATCATGATGAACCTTAAAGGCCACCGACCACAATTCGGGTGGTAACAACACTCTTCGTCCTGCCGATGTCTGGATGGACACCAAGTCGTGCCGTATGTCGACCGCCATGCCGCGATAATCCCCGGTCTTCACCACTTGTTGTACCCACTTACTTCGTCGTTGAGCCGCTACTACTGCATCGTCCGTTAGCTGTAGCGTCGGTGGCCGCCGCTGCTGATCACACTTGTCTCTCAGGGTTGTCGTCGGTACTGGAATTGCCTGCCACTGCTCCGCCATCTGTACGTGTTCAGGACCACGTATGGGCCATACTACTTCTTCCAACTCCTGGTTCGTGGGTGCCGACGCCGTCTTCTTTTTAGACCTCCCGGATGAAGTTACGCTGACGTCGTACGGATTCTCACGACGCTCAGTCGTCGTTGCTTGCGCACCTCTTCGTCTAGCTGTCACCGCCGCCGGTTCGTCTCGCCCTTCGGTTGCCCATTGCCCTCCCAAATTATCCGGTGCCGCGACCACCGGACTATCTAGTGATGTTAGCGGCCATGTTGACCGTCCCCGCCGTCGCGCTGCTGCATCATGTCGTGTCGTCATTGACGTATTGTCTTGATTTGTTGGCACATTGAACCGCACCCTTCGTCGTACCGACTGTTCTTCCCGCACTTCACCGTCACTCGCTGGCGAGGCACCGCTGCCAGGTTTCTCTGCTTCATGAAGCGCCGTTATTTGTTGTCGAGCAGAGTCACCTGTCGTACGCTCTGTCCGCCCCTCGTATTCGTCCTCAGCCGCACTTACTCCCGTCTGCAACGCCACTTGCTGTTGCTGTTGTGTAGCTTCCAACCGACGTTTCGCCGCCCGTGTGAATGGTCGATCCGAGATCCCCATCTCGGCCGTCTTACCCGCCACGTCTTTCCCACGCGCCTTCTCCAGTTTGGCCAATTCTTTATCCCCCTCGGATCTGGCCTCCACTACCCCACCAGTTGTCGTTGTTGCCCCTGCCGCATGGCTGCCAGCCATCGAGGTCCTCCCCTCTTCCACGTTGCCCCTTGGGCTGTGAGCCACCACTTCGACTTCGCCTTCACGAGGCACCAGGATACCGTTTGTTGCTGTCGCGTCCATATCCGCTCCTTCAGTCCGCACCTCGCCTTCATTCACTGTGTTGCGCGCCGTACTGGCCCCCGTCGCCGCAGCACCGCTATCTGCTGACCCTGCCACTTCACGTGCCTTTACGCCAGACTTCCGGACTTCCCCACGCAGCCGTGCGCGTCGTCGCCGGCCGACCGCTGCAGCAACCTTGACCGGCGCTCGCGACAGCGCATCAGCCACGACGTTGGTGCTACCCGGTCGATACTCAACTGTAAATTCAAACTCCTGCAGAGTCAACGCCCAGCGATGCAATTTGTCTTGTCAGGTTGAAGCTGGTCATCAACCATTTGAGTGCGGCATGATCTGTCACAATCGTAAATTGCCGCCCATACAGATAGGGTCGGAACAATTTGATCGCCCATACGACCGCCAAACATTCGAGCTCGGTAATCCCATAATTCATCTCTGCTGGACTATTGACTTTACTCGCATATGCAACTGGCTGCCAGCTACGTCCGTGATCCTGCATGAGGCAGGCACCGAGCCCGACAGCGCTAGCATCCGTTACCACGCGAAAGACCTTCTTGAAGTCAGGATAAATGAGCAACGGCTTGGTCGTGAGCACCGCTTTCACATGCTCGAACGCCGCTTCTTGCGCCACCGTCCACTCCCATTCTGCTTCCTTCCTCAACAACTTCGTCAGTGGCGCCAACAAGGACCCAAAACCTTCCACAAACCGTCGATAATACCCCGCTAGATGTACGAATCGCTTAACTTCCACAGCATCCACAGGTCGAGGAAATTTTCGTACAGCCGTCACCAATCGTTCGAGCGGTCGTACACCCTCGGAACTGAGCTCGTGGCCTAGGTATTCCATCTTTCTGGTGGCGAATACACACTTCTTGAGTTTCAACGTAAGCCCGGCCGCTTCAAGTCGTTCCAGAACACACGCCACCTCCACAATATGTCGCTCAATGCCCCCACGTGTGAAAATCACAATATCATCTAGATAAACCAAGCAAGTCAACCACGTTAGACCCCGTAACACACTGTTCATCATTCGTTGGAATGTCGACGGTGCATTGGTCAAACCAAACGGCATCCGCACAAATTGATACAAGCCTTGCTTGGTCGTGAAGGCCGTCTTCGGTCGGTCCCGCTCAGCTACGCGTATCTGCCAATATCCAGCTTTCAGGTCTAAGGTTGTAAACGGCACCGCACCTCCCAAGGCTTCGAGAGTTTCATCGATCCGTGGCAGCGGATAAACGTCTTTCTTCGTAACTTTGTTGAGTGCTCTGTAGTCAATACAGAACCGCACCTCCCCGTCTTTCTTCTTGACCAGAACCCCAGGAAAACCCCAAGCACCCTCGCCT